CCTAAAAATTTATCATACTGCTCTTCAGTTGCATCTTATCAGGAAGATGATGAACACAGCCTTGTTGATTTGGAGGAGGTTGAATCAGAAAGCAGTGATTCTTTTACTTCTGAGGAAGAGGAAACAGGAAATATAACAGGTCTTGATTCTCCTGGAACTAAAGTTTGGGATGGTAAGAGTAACAGAAATCTGACTGTTTCGCACATTCATCATCCACTTGAAAATCCTGAGGGCCATATGGCGAAGAAGGCTGGTGGAAGGTGTGTTCGGTATCAAAGATTAACTAGAACCCCATCAAGCAGGAAAAGATCTAGATTGACCAGTCATAAGTTGCCTGTCTGGCAAGAGGTCGAGAGGACAAGCTTTTTATCGGGTGATGGACAGGACATACTTAATTCGCTGAATGGACATGGAAAAGCTGATGATTCCAGTGATGATTCTGATACTGAATTCTTTGGTAGAGTTCACAGCGGAGCAACTGCTTCTTCATCTGCTGCTTCTATCTCTAATTCAGAAGGTCGTAGTTTGACTGCTAATTCTTTGCAAAACTCGTTGGTGGTAGATTCTTTCTTTAAATTGAGATGTGAGGTACATACTTATGATCAGGATCAATTCTTCATTTTAATATGGTAGGATTTCGTATTTTGGTACTTTGTTACATAATTATTGCAAAATTATTTTCTTTTGCAGGTGTTGGGTGCAAATATTGTGAAGAGTGGCTCTAGAATGTTTGCTGTTTATTCCATATCTGTTACAGATGTAAATAACAATAATAGTTGGTCAATCAAGAGAAGGTGCATAGAACTGTGCTATTAACTTTCTGGTCTTGTGCTCCCATGATGCATTCTGTAGCATTTGTTCTTCATTGCATTGGCATCTTTGTTAAATATTTCTACAATGGCAAGCCAATAATGTTTATCGTCACCTCTCACTGTTGCTAAACTTTTTGATCGTTTTCCTTCTAGATTCCGACATTTTGAGGAGCTGCATCAGCGCCTTAAACAATTTCCCGAATATAAACTTCACTTGCCTCCAAAGCATTTTCTGTCAACAGGTTTAGATGTTTATGTAATACGAGAACGCTGTAAATGGCTTGACGGATATTTAAAGGTTAAATACCTTGACTCACATATTGTTTTTCTTCATCCATGGGGCATATTTGTTGAATTCAAGTCATTCAAATTGATAATTTACTTCTATATTGACGTTTTTTCCTCAAATATGTTTGTCGGATTGTTTGATTGCCAGTGCTTCCATCTTCCTGTAATATCTTACATCTGTATCCAAAGTGCCAAAATGAGATCTATCTGTAGTTTACATATGAGAAATAACTGCAGTATATGCTTTATATTCTAGTTTTGATTATCTTTCTATTTTTAAATGAATTATGAATATTTTTGCATCTTCAGAAGCTTCTGCAGCTTCCTACTGTTTCAGGATCAATTGAAGTTTGGGACTTCCTAAGTGTTGATTCTCAGGTGGACTTCTATTTTCCCTTTTTTTTTTAACGGAAAAATAGCTGTTCGTTTCTTTTCTATTTTCTGGGAAGAGAGGGGGGAGGGAGGCAGTTTCAGGCTTTTTCCCTTTTATGCACTATCTCTTATTATATGCACTTTGTAATGCAGACATATGTATTCTCAAATTCCTTTTCTATCGTCGAAACGTTGTCAGGTGATTTGGATTTAATTCAGTAGTCTGAATGCGCATAGTTTGCTTTTTCTTTCTTAACCTGTTTTTGAGTGATTCCATATTTTGTGTTGCTTGGGAACTTTCAGTTGACCTGGATGATAATCCATCTGAAAAGGTCAAGAAGGCCTCAAATGTTATGGGGCCTCTGATGGGTTCCTTATCTTCCAGGGGGGAACAGTTAGACACTGGAAGCAAGGAACCTCCATTGCAGATGAAGCTTAATCTTGCAACTGATGGATTAAGAAACGCAAAAGATATCTGTTATTCTCCAGCAAAAATTCCCACTAAAGAACGTGGAAAGTCATTAGAAGATTCAGGCAGTGATTCTGATACTACACTGCGAAATAATTCGGTTATAAGAGACACAGGGAAGAATGCTAAAGGAAGAGAGAACAAAAGAACGGAAGATACTTCTGAGTTGCTTCTTGATGCTGCTACATACCCAACCCTTCCTACAGAGGTAATCAGCGCAAAGTCAAATAGTTTATTTCCTCTATTAGTGTTTATAGAAGAAATATGGCTATCATAACTTTGCTTAATGGCATATAAAAGTTTCTTGTGTCATATTTAGTATTTGCAAAGCAATTTGAAATTTGTGAGGCTTCTAGGCTTCTTAAAGGTTTTTAACGCACACATCTTCTGTGCAGTGGGTGCCACCAAATTTAAGTGTCCCCATATTAGATTTGGTGGATGTCATTTTCCAGCTCCAGGATGGTGGATGGATCAGGTATGTGAATGGCTATAGAACAATGAACTTATCTCAGCATTATATTTTGATCTTCAGTTTAGCATTATCACGTCCTGATCTTACCGGATGGACAAGTTTTACCTGAGAGTTGTTCTCTGCATGCGCATTTCAGGCGGAAGGCTTTTTGGGTGGCCAAGCAAATTCTACAACTTGGAATGGGTGATGCTTTTGATGATTGGTTGATAGAAAAGATCCAGCTGCTGCGCAAGGGGTCAGTTGTTGCTTCAGGAATCAAACGGATTGAGCAGGTAGTCATTTGATTTCAGCAATGATCAAGAAATGTTATTTCTTTTTAAAAGTGTCGGAATTGTAACTGGTAAAATCTTTTAGTAGCTGTACCAGAATCTAAGAGCAAATCTCCTCTTCACTAAGTTTGCTAGAGGATTTAAGGGAAGGGGCACACCAACCCCTCTTGATATTAGCTCAGCCATTGAACTGGAACAAAATGTTTTTCTACTGGATACAGCTTAGTGTATGTCTGCTAAAATATTTTTCAAATCCTCTTTAGGAATTTTAAGAACAAGGTACTATCAATTGGGATTCTGATCAGTGTCTTATCTGACTTAAATTTATATTTTACAGCCTCTTATCTTATCTGTTTTTGCCTTCTTGAACCGTTTTCGGTACATGTTTCCTCATGTTTAACATTACTACTTTAGGACTATTTTTGTGGGACTGTAAGTGGCTTGTAGTGTAATGTTTTAGATTTTAAAAGAAGAGCACCTATTATGTGCTTATACACAGTCCTGATATAGGTCTCCTATTTTCATGCAGATACTTTGGCCTGATGGAATATTCATAACCAAACATCCAAAGCGACAACGACCACCATCATCCAGTAGCCCATCGCAGGCTTCACCTCATAGTCCACAGTCTCCTGAAATATCTTCACCTAGATTCAGTGATGAGCAGCAACAACTGGAAGCAGAACGTCGTGCAAAATTCGTTTATGAGCTAATGATTGGTAGTTTTGTTTATCATGAATGTTTCTTATTAATAATCTGCACTTATACCTGATTTTATGTTATCAAAAAGAAAATTTTCAGTGTAGGAAAGTAAATGAGCTCAATTTTTTTGATGCAGACAATGCACCTGTTGCTATTGTGAGTCTTGTTGGTCGCAAGGAGTATGAACAATGCGCTAAGGATCTCTATTTCTTTATTCAGGTAATTTAGGAGATTAAGAGATTTTGATTTTGTTCTTTTAATGTAGGAAGGTCTTGTTTTCAGAAACTGCGCTTTAATTATTGATAGGCAATCTGTATGAGCTAGGTACTTTAGAGCTGGTTTAGTGGTCATGAGGGAAGAGGACATCATAGGTTATTAATAACATCAATCCAGGCAGAACATGATTGGTGCAGGCTGTTACTGTGTCACAGCGTCAGTTTTCCTTGTTGGGCTCAAATTGAAATTTTAACACTAGTGTTACACCTTGAAACTTATTCATAACAGTTTTGCAATCCTTGTTCTCTCTTTATGCAGTCCAGTGTTTGTTTGAAGTTGCTGGCATATGACCTTGTTGAGCTCTTGCTGTTGTCTGCATTTCCGGAGATGGATTATGTATTCAAGCAGTTGCATGAAGAAAAACACAAGTTTGGTGAATTTAAAGCCGAATAGCCAGAATACATTGAGTTCCAATAATAGGGATCAAGTGATAAGTCTGGCCTGGCATTTTCCCAGGTATAATGTTTAGATTGATGTCTGCCATTGGCCTTCATTGATTCCATCTGGAAGGTATACCTCATTCATATTTTACAATGTCAAGATCTTCAAATCGTATACAGGTCCAAATCGTGTAATTAGTTTTTCCTCTCTTTTTTTTCCCATTTGACTTTTTGAGGAATTGTAAGTATATCTTGCGATTAGCGAAATTATATGATAGAAAGCTGTTTCCTCTTCCTCGCAAATACAATTCTACTCTTCTTTTCTCTAATCTTGTTTTTAGCATTGTGTCGTGTCCTCCTTTGCCGATCTTTCTAGTCTCGATCAGATTATCCTGAATGTTTTGTAACAGTTTTAAAAAAGTATCCTTTACAGCGGGCCGGTACATGACGAGTAACAGACCAAGGACGGATCAGATTGAGGTACGAATGGACCATAGAACCACATACAGAGGAAGGAGGCGAAGGTTTCTTAAAGATGTCTTCCACAACCACATTCCTTCTAGTTGTAAATACAGATAATACTTACCGTTTGAAGCCCCCAAGGTGAAAATGTATCAGCAACGGTTGGGAGAATGTGAAGTATGAAAGGGCATGAAACCATAGCAGTTACATCAACTTCTAGAAATATATTTTGGAGCCATTGATAGTACACTGATAAGATCCTCCCCAAGGCTCTGCAATGAATTGAAGAAGGGCGGGGCTATGGGATAACTACACTCTAAAGACATTCAAGCAAACTCTTCAAGCATCTCACCACATTCAAATCCAGTTTTCCCCCTTTCATCCAAGGTTATGACCTCGTGAACTTCTATTCAAGCAATAATTCCAAACTAGTACAATTAGTGACTACTCACAGACAATATTTAGGGGCTTGCCATCCTTAAAATAGATTCAGGGCAATGTAACCAAAACAAGAACATCATTAACTTCATCAAGTAATTAAGGGTCTAACAACAATAGCCTCAACCAATTTTGTTCAAAATTTAACGCAACTACATCAAAGTAGAAACTAAAAACAACTAAAGCATCCAATGTAATGACAACTCCTCATGTAATGTTCCCATAAAACGGCTCATTCAAAACAATCTCACAACACCTTAAGCTGAAGCTGCTGCAACCTTTTTCCTTGGGGCTGCTTGAGTACCTAATCACAATCCAACAAACAAATTATGAGAAAAACCAAATAAACATAATCTTGAAAAACAACATCATCTGTAAAAAAACTACCAGTACTACAAGAACAAGCATAAAAGAAATTACTGCATTTTGTTGTTACCTTCTCTGAAACCACTCTTGAACCTGCGAGGGACATGGCGGAGATACCTCATCCTACCAGTTCCAGTGGTCTTTCTTCTGATTGCCTTCACACTCCAGTTATCTGAATCGCACAATCAAGAGTTGCCTTTCAGATTTAAGGCCTAATTATGACCCATTCACACACATTTCACATCTAATCACAGTCTCTTCAAACATATTTGTAGGTGCACATTACACGCCATGGTCATTCACATTTAATGTACTCAAACCATAACACATAAATACCAGCATTAGTATGAAAGTTTATGCTTTTACAAAGAAACACATTCACACCAGCTCCAGCAAGTATACAAGTTTATGCTTTTGCAAAGAATCAGATCCACATCATCCCTTTTTTCATTGCTTTCCGGATAATGAACTTTTCATTAAAATAACCACCACATTCAAGGAAAATAACAGCTAAAAAACTACCAACCCAGATACATACTCTTACCAAAGGAGTCAACTAGAACAAACCGAGTACATAAAGAAACAAACCCAGACAATTAGCTAAACAGAAACAAACCCAGATGCAGAAGGAGACTCACAACACAGTAAACAACAAAAGAAACACAAAAATTTATGTTCAGACATAAAACAAAGAGGGGCACTTACATTTCCTCTTACGGGCAGCAGGGAAACCACACGCAGCGCAGCGGCTCTTCTGGAGATGGAAGCTGCGGCGCCCACATCTCACGCAGAGAGTGTGGGTCTTGTTCCTTCTCTTACCAAAACTCCCTGTACCCTTTCCCTGCACATTACCATAATCATTTCAGTTGCAAAAATCCAACTGAATCAAGTGAAGGAAAAAGAAAAAGAAAAGAAGCGAATGTTTGTTCCATTTTACCATCGGAGCTGTCGCAGGAGAAACCCTAAGATATGGTGCTTTTGGCTATGAAGAAGAAAGAGAGCGGCGCGGAGGAGATAGTTTATATTAGGAGAGAGTTGGAAGAAAATAATATGCAGGGCTTTTTAGGGTTTGATTAATTGGATGGGCCTATTCTGGTTTCTTGTGGATAGCTTTGGGCCAATTCCAAAAGTATAGTCCAGCTTAAGCTTGAGTTGGTTCAAATGGGCTTGGGCTGGTTGGCAAAAAATAGATAAATAATTCCCTCCTTCTCTTCTGGATTTTCGCGGGAAATCATCTGCGGAGCAAGACAGTAATAACTTGAAAGAGTGAGAGAGAAGCAATCGAGAAAGAGAGAAATGGAAAATGGAGGAGAGCCCAAATTTCCAGCATTTCCTTATAAGCCATATTCAATCCAGATCGATTTCATGAATGCACTTTATCACTCTTTAGATACAGGCGGCGTCTCCATGCTCGAGAGTCCCACTGGTACTTCGGCTTTCATTTTTTTTTTTCTTTCTTTTTTGTAAGTATAGTTGTTGAGAAAATGTAGAGAAGAAAATTGATTATTAATGGGGAAAAAAATCTAAAATTTGTGTATCCAACTTAAACTGAGTCTTTATCCTTTTTTTGTTTCTCTCGTTATTATGTATATTTTATATTATTGAATTGGTTTACCACATGCCTTGGTTGCTACATTTCTGATGAAGCATGAGCTTGATTATATGGAAGAAATTATTCCTTTTGCCTTTTTTTTTCTTTTGAATTTTCCTAAAATAATTTTTTTTTATTTCGTCATCCAAAAACTCTGAGGGATTGAGGATTGTTGTTAAAATGAAAAAAAGGATTAATTTGAATTTTTCTTGTCAAGTTAGGAACGGGCAAAACCCTGAGCATTATCTGCAGTGCTTTGCAATGGGTGCTTGATCAGAGACAAAAGCAGAAGTCTGAAGAAAGGGTTGAATCTGATGAAAAGCAGGAAAATATTGGTCAAATTGGCTCAGATGATGAGCCTGATTGGATCAAAAACTTTGTTGTAAACAAAGACTACCAAATGGATGACAAGAAGAGGAAGAAAAAGAAATACGGTTTTGCATCAGCAAAACTCGCAAAAAGAAACAATAAAGATAGTAGCAAGGATTTATTCTCATGTGATCCAGGAGAGGAATGTTTCAATAAAAAGAAAGAGTGCAAAAAATCAGTAAAGAAAACTGATGCTGAGGAGTTGGGTGATGAAGAGTTTCTGCTTGAAGAATATGAAAGTGAAGAGGAAGGAGAAGTTGGAAGTTCAAATTCAAAAAGGAAAGCCAGTAAGTTTTCTGTCAGTTCATCCAGTGATGAGGAAGGTGAGTCTGAGGAGGAGGAGGAGGAGGAAGTGAAATTGAAGGTGTTTTTTTGTAGCCGGACACATTCACAGCTTTCACAGTTCATAAAGGAGCTAAGAAAGACAGTCTTTGCCAATGAAATGAATATCGTCTCTTTGGGATCAAGGAAGAACTTTTGCATCAATGAAGGTATATAAAACTTTGTATTTTAGTATTATTCATTCGTAATTTGATTTTTTCCTGACCTTTTGAAGCTTTTGTATTTCAGAGGTTTTGAGACTAGGCAACCCTACTCGGATTAATGAACGTTGCTTGGAGCTTCAGAAGAGCAAGAAAAAGGAAATTTCTAAAATCAAGGTACTAAATATCCTAGTTCTAATTCCATAATTCAGCTGTAATGCATTTTATCAGGGTTGGTTTTCTAAGCTTTTTAGTGGTTGCAGTAATTGTAGAATTTAGAGCCAGCAGCCCACCAGATCATTTAATGCAACCTTGCAGCGTCAGAACTAGTGCATTTTCCATGTTTCATTACCTCATTACTGAAGCTAAGACATCATATACCTAGGTCTATCTTAGTTGAAGTCCTATCAACTTGCTCTCAAGCTCAGTTTATACCCCTAATCCAAGACAGACTAACAACAAAAGTATATTTAAGGAGGGTTTGCTAGACTAATGATGGTGTTGATTTGCAGAGTTTAGGTGCAGAGGGAAGAATACGGCAAACCAAGGCTTCTTCTGGATGCCCAATGCTCAGAAAACATAAACTACAAAGACAGTTTAGGAGTGAAATTTCTCAACAAGGGGCATTGGACATTGAAGATGTTGTTCAACTTGGAAGAAATATAGGAACATGTCCATATTATGGCTCCCGAAGTATGATCACCCCAGCTGATCTTGTGGTTCTTCCATATCAATCACTCCTTTCAAAATCATCACGTGAAGCTCTGGGACTGAATCTGAAGAATAATGTTGTTATAATTGATGAGGCTCACAATCTGGCTGACTCCCTCATTAGCATGTATGATGCGAAAATTACTCTGCCACAGGTAAATAAATAGTTATTGCTGTTTTCTCCAGTATTGTCATTGGCCCTTGAAAACTAGTGCCCAAGCTTGGCACTTAGATTCCTGTATTTCTTGAACATTTCAAATGCCGTTCGAAACCTGTGTCATGAAAATTGGATAATCCAGTCACAAATTAATTTAAAAACCTCTTTGTTTCAGAAGGAATTTGAATCTCCTATATATTGTTTTACTTTCAGTTACAAGCTTTTGATATTGATATTGTGTATTTTAAATTCATCTAAATTAAGAATCATTGAGTTATTGCATGATTCCTTATCAGTTGGAGAAGGTGCATAGCCACATAGAGAAGTACTTTGGAAGATTCTGCAGTCTCTTGGGACCTGGAAATCGAAGATACATTCAAACTCTTTTGGTCCTTACTCGGGCTTTCCTCCGAGTTCTAGTTGATGATAAGGATGTGAATTGTTTAAACACTTGCCCAGATGCTCAAAGAGGTGTTGGAGAAAAGCATGGCTTTGACTCTTCCATGGCCATAAATGATTTTTTATTCTCCCTCAATATTGACAACATTAATTTGATCAAAGTGCTCCAGTATATAAAGGAAAGCAACATCATGCATAAGGTAGATTTGTGGCCATACTATTTGTTTCTACTTTGTAAAATCATGATTTGAGTTCTTTCTTTGTTGAACTTTTCTCAATTTAATGGTCATGATACAAATGGTTCCAGGTTAGTGGGTATGGAGACAAAATGACTACCTTGCAGAAAGGTTCAGCGGTCAAGGAAAATGGGGAAAGTTGTGATGATGGTAGCACACTATCTGGCTTTCGGGCATTAGCAGATATGTTATTGTCACTGACAAATAATGATGGTGATGGGCGGATAATAATCTCAAGGAAGAAACCAACATGTTCGAGACAAGGAGCTTACTTGAAATATGTTATGCTCACTGGGGAAAAGATTTTTTCTGAGGTTATTCTAACATTTTCATAATTTACACTGCAAAGAAAATAGCAGTCAGCTTCTTACTTGCTGGCAATTATTTTTTTTCCCTTCTTTAAGATCAAAACTTGGTTTTAAAGTCTGTATTTTTAAATACTCGAGGCCTTCTTGCTCTATTAAGGAAAATCCTATCTCAAAACTATTTGCAGATTGTGCATGAAGCGCATGCTGTTGTACTGGCAGGGGGAACTCTGCAACCAATAGAAGAAACAAGAGAGCGACTTTTTCCATGGTTACCATCAAATCAGCTCCATTTCTTTTCATGTAGCCATATTGTCCCTCCAGAGAGTATATTGCCACTTGCAGTATCTTGTGGACCATCTGGCAGATCTTTTGACTTTAGCTATAATTTGAGAAGTTCATCAACTATGGTGAGTGTATGGCACTTTGTATCTGTCACCGTAATGGAGTTTGTACTAAGTGTTATTGAATTTTTTTTCTAATTGGACTATGGTTGAACTCCCCTTTAAACTGACTGCTCTGCTAATTATTTCTTGACAATTGTATTTTGTTCTGAATGTTGAATGCCCAGAAAGCATAATGGCCTATTACTAAATCCCATTATTGGGTCTTGAACATACAGATAGAGGAACTAGGGCTCTTACTCTGCAATTTGGCAACAGTTGTTCCCGAAGGAATTGTTGTGTTCCTTTCTTCATTTGAATATGAAGGACAGGTCTATGATGCATGGAAAACCTCAGGAATCCTTGAAAGGCTTATGAAGAAAAAGTACATCTTCAGAGAACCTAGAAAAAACACAGAGGTGGAGGTCATTCTCAAGGAGTACAAAGAAGCCATTGATAATCCTGCTCCTAGAAGTGGTGCAATACTGCTAGCTGTAGTTGGTGGCAAGATATCAGAAGGCATCAACTTCAGTGATGGGATGGGTCGGTGCATAGTCATGGTTGGACTTCCCTACCCTAGCCCATCTGACATTGAATTGTTGGAAAGGGTAAAGCATATTGAAGGTTTGGGTGATTCAAGTACTATGAAAAGCCTAAAACTTTCATCTAGTGAAGAATATAACAGAGGAGACATTCAGGCTGCTTTCAACATACTAAGAAGTTGCACGTGCAGGGGGAAAGAATACTATGAAAATCTCTGTATGAAAGCTGTAAATCAATCAATTGGTAAGTGCCAAGCATAACAGATTAGCAGTTGGATAAATTGGGCAATCAATTGTGAGGATACTGTTTCAAGGCTATTTATTATAGTCACTATAGGGAGGCAGGTGAAAATTGAATCCCCTAGGCTCATTGTTTAGTTTTCAGATCGGCAGAAAATTTTGGTCTAATATCTTTAAAACTGAACATGATTTCTACATGCAGGATTTCTGTTTGAGTAGTGTTTATACAGAAAATAATTTAACATCTCAAACCTTGTAACAAAGTTGATTTCTGGCTGATTTAAGTTCACTGGTTGCCTCCAAGTGCTCAATGCATACATGAATTAATGTGATTATATATGTTCTGTTATGTCTTTTCTTATATCAATCTTGATTTTTGACATTGGACTGCCTCTGATATTTAAATGATCTGTCTTAGGAAGAGCAATTCGGCACATAAATGACTATGCTGCAATTTTATTGGTCGACATCCGTTACGCATCAGATTCTTCAAAAAGAAGTTTTTCTCATCCAAGCAGCAAGCTACCACAGTGGATAAAAGATCGTCTTGCTTCTGCAACTAATAATTATGGTGAAGTGCACAAGCTGCTGCATCACTTCTTCAAATTGAACAAGAATAGAGGTTGTAAGTAAAAGTCCTTTAGGTTGTAATGGGATAGCGAAAGCCCTTATATTATACACAAGTGAGGAGACCTTACATAAAGCCAATGGTTTTTCAAGTCGCCTGGGCTGTTGCAGTCTTTGGCAGAGAAGAACACTTAAAGTGGAAAAGGTAACTGTGGATATATTGGTAGACTTTCTTCCTTTACATAATCAGGCCTCAAATTTCGCTAAAAATGTATCCCCCTCTTTGATTCTTTTTCCCCCTTCCCCACTTATAGTTAGCATTTATTCTTTTTTATTTTCTTTTTGTAGAAGGTCAAAAAAGCACTTAAATAAGTTAATATTATGACATACATAATTTTTGTACTTTCCTGTACAATTGAGATGTGTTTTGTTTTAGATATTAAAACCTCTGCTACTGCATATGTCTTATCTGAACATAAGTTTTCATGTGTTTTAAGGGGGACATAGGAAGGATTAGTGCAAGAAAAAGAAGTTGAGAAGCCATGTTGGGCTGCTTTTAGCTTCAGACATCAGCTCAATGACCCAATGCTTCAGCTTTAAGCATCAGTTAAATGGCCCAAAGCAAACATAGACATATGGGGTCAAAAAGTTCCTTTAACCATATCTAACTGCTTTTGCTTCTTTATTTTTTTTTTTTTCTGTTTTCTCCCTCAGAATCTTAGTACCATTCGGAACGATTCTGGATTTGAATTTTTCATGGAAGATTGAAGACTCATCTTAAGCCAGAACATTGCCTCGCAGCCGTTGTTGCTGTGGTTGCAACTTTCTTTCTGGGCTCCTTTATGCTATCTTCTGTCAAACCATAGGCAAAACATGGGTTGAAGCTACCGGTTTTAGGTTGGTGGAAGGATTTTATTTCAGCAAGGCAACTGTGAGAAAATGACTTAACCATGCAAGTATCGAAATGCACCTTATCTTGACATTAATATTTAAGTGGGTTTTGGGTCCTTTAGATGCCATCCACCCGTACACATTGGGACCATTCACACCCTTATAAATGCAAGGGGATTTTTCTAGGGATGAACGATCAATTATGATCACACCAAACCCTACAAAAGTGGTGTCAATTACCATGTTGATATCAGATTGATTGTTGGGAAATTCAACCAAAAAAAAATAAGTTAAAAGAAGGTGCACTATTCCATTTGTGGGTCCTTTAGTTTGGACATCATAGCTAACAAAAATTAAGTAGCAGTTGAAAATGTGGATTATATCAGTTAAATTTCACCAACCCTCTTCCTTTAGCTTTGCATCTTAATCAATAGCACTGCACTTTAGACAACAAAGTAGTCAAACATAAAATATATGTGATCATTAGATTCCCAAGACCTCACTCTCTTTGATCTTTAATTTGTATTCAAGAAATCTTTTAACCCCAATGCCTTATGATTTTCTGACCTTCTGCCTGGTGATCAGGAAAAAGAGACAGATAGACAAGCAAATATAGGTGGGATGAGGACAAAAAAGTATGGAAAAGTGCAAGCAAAAGAGAAGAAAATTGCACTTTAGGCTCCATTAGCATTGTCTCTAGTTAACCGTAAGAAACATCTCCTGTCTCTATCTCTCTTACCTGTATATTGGACGCAACAGTTGGAGAAGCAGCGGAAGATTAGAGTTGCGTCTGTAGTTGCAGATAGAGACACCCAAGAGATTTAACAAGCCTCACCATACAGTTCTACTCGCAAAAATGCTGCTGATGGACTCCATTCAAAAGTCCAAGAACTTCTTTCACAAAACAGTTGAGAACCTTAAATCTCTCTGCTTTGTAGGATACCAAAAGCTATCCAAACCACCCCTCCTAGTCCTAGACCCCTTCTCTTGCACTGGTGGCAGCAGAAAAAAGCACCGAAAAGATCAATTCTACACTGACTTTTCTAACGATTGGGAAGTCTGTCTTGAGGAGGCAAAGGTGAGAGAGCAGAACGATGCCATGACATTGAAAGGGCAAATGAGGGAAGAAGATGCATATAGTGGAAGCTCCATGGACTTTGCAGATAAGAATCTTGTAAAGAACGAAAAACAAAATGGAGGAAAAGAGGAGATAAAGAAAGTGGGAAGTTCACAATTGATTAAGGGAGAGGAACAGTATTATTACAAGAGAAATGGAGGAGGTTATGCATTAGCACAAAAGATGAAGGACTTAGAGATGATGGATGTTGGCGATATGGAACATGTATTGGATGTAGAAGAGGCACTCCATTATTATTCTCGGCTTAAAAGTCCAGTGTACCTTTCTATTGTCGACAGGTTCTTCACGGACATGCACTCAGAGTTCTGCGTTCCACAGGCCTCTGCCAGCGTCAACAGTTCAAAGCGAAGATTCAGATCAATTAGGTTGTAGTTTCATGTCTCTTGCACCTTTTCCTGTGCATATGAATCTGTTTTCTTATCCTAAATTCTTATGTTTTGTGTGTATGCCTGCGCTCTTCTGCTACTTCAGCTTACTGTTCTATTTCTCTTTGATTGTTATAGTTTGCTTGAGAGTGCATTGTTACCAATAAAGCATGGAAGTTTCATACCAAGATTTCAGTATTGTATATTTGCATTGCATGTTATTCATATATTATCAGATCTTTCTTTGAATAAATGTGCTTTCGATGAAGCACAAAGATTGACTATGTGAACCATTGGTGATAATTTGTGCCTTCTGGCATAATGAGAATGCGGATGTTCCCTTTTCACACACGCATGGCTTTTACTTTCAATGAGGCCCTTTGCATCAGTTGAGACTCCTGCATTACACACTGCATGGTTAGAGTGTTTTTTTTAAGTTTTGGCAGAATGAAAAAACCAGTAATTAAGGTCGTCATTTAGACTAAGTTCTTTAGAAAATCTATTCCACTTATGTTCTATGAACCTCAATCAACAGTCATTTCCTGTAATCTGATGTTACAATGAGGATATAACTAGAAAAACCCCACTAAAGCACCCAACATTTAAACTAGTTCATTGATTGTAACTATAAGGGGTTAAGATAAAGTTGTTAAAAGAACAAAAGCACCAAACTACTCAAAAATTTGTCTAACAAACCATGCTGGTCCTCACTGTCTCTCTCCATTATGCCACCCTTGAACAATTGAGCCGGATCTGACCTCTGGGCGCTGTCAAAACGTGGAGATTTGAGAGCTTCATCATTGCTAGGGCAAAGTCTCGCTGGTACAAGGAGGCATCCGAAGCATATGCTCTAACCCATAGTCCAGTTTCTTCCCCTGCCATTAGCTGCTGATCAGCATAGAGGATTCCTTTACCCTGTAGAAGACTGCGATAGTACACGGTGCCAAAGTCTGCTCCAGTTCCCTCATAGGTCATCACCGTTCCTTGATCCTTAGGTGAAGAAGATAACAATTTGTCAAAGGAAGTTGATGGGGCTACCGCTGATGACAGTGAGTCGTAAAGTGGAGGTGACAGAGGTGTTTGCATTGGTGAACCATCCGAAAAAGGTGATGCTGCTGGTGATGTTGATGAGTGGTTCTTGGGACATTTTGATCTCATTTTCTTGAGAATTTCAGAATCAAGAGTTGGATCAGGCTCATCAGTCCCACCAAAGTTATACAGACGGTTTTGAAAAAATTTGCAGTGGATCACTCCAATGCTATGAGCACCTGCAAGTGAAATAGAGAGAATCAAATTATTGTATACATCTCAGAGAATACATTTCTTCTGCAAGAAGAATCAACTGCCACAACAGAAGAAGTATAACAGCAGTTTCCATCACACAACAACTAGCGCATTAGCAAAAACCTCATAAAAAAACACAACAAATGTTACCATGGACACATAAATCATTCATCAGTGATTTTGTTAGCATTAATCTACGAAACACAAACATGTATGATTTTTGAAACAAAGCAGAGATAATGGATAAATTAAGGTATCTATAGGAAGTGATGTAATCAAGGAAAATGTAGATACAAGTGCAGACAGACTTGTTCTGAACCGAAACAAAGCAGGGAAGTACCAGGCTAGAATATGCACAAAAGAAGTAAGCTCGCAGTTGAATAGAGATGTTATTCTCTCAGGACCCTAAATCTAGAAACTGCATAATCAAATTTTAGTTCCTTTTTACTTTCATGTACTGTTGTTTGACACCTAACAAATAGTAGAATCCAAACCAACGATAAAGCAAGCACACAGAAACCAAAGAAGAAAAAATCAGAGGAAAAAGATTCATACCTAAGAGAGCGACAGTCTCTCTTTCATCAAATCCCCTTGACGAAAAGGACGCAAGGGTTTCAGACAGATCAGCATGCGGTGAAGGAAGCTCGTTTGTGGCACTATCAGAGAAAGCGGCAGTGCTGTCTCTCCTACCAGTATTGAGTGGATAGAATGGGCCACCAGCCTGGCATCAAAAGATTAAAAATAAGCACAAATGAAACAGGAGAAACTAAAAAATCCTAGCTTCATAGGAATTTACCAGAAGAGCAGCTTCTCTAGCTGCCAAAACAAGAATGTCAGCACAGGAAACAACACCAGGGCACACTTGTTCAACATCTGACTTGATTATGTCGATTACATCAAAACCCTTCAAGCTTTCATTAGGAGGAGAATCTTTCTCCGAATCCATCCCTTCAACAGCATCCAACAAGATAGAAGCATCACATCCCTGCCCGGTTTGGTTTTTTTTTTTTTTTGGTGATTCCATAGTTGAACCAGACCGAATTAGACAGGAAGAAGAACAAAATCCCAAGAAAAAGTGATGAAAATACGTAATAGGAGCTCAAGTTTCTCGATAGAAACAAGAAACAGAGAATTGCAGGCAAAAATTAAAGAAGAAAGAATTCCCAAAAGTATCAACAATTAAAATCACAGAAATAACAACATATCTAACGAAAAGCTTCCTCAAAAACATGATTTTGGGTTCAAAAGATTTCTAGAAAGGCTAACGGAAGCTGGAGAGTTGAGATGCAACGAAGCGAAGCATTTAAACATGCAAATGAAATAAGCAGTGGAAAGATCAAGAAACAACAGAAGCCAGACAGAAAAAGAAAATCACTAAGAAATGAGAAACCTAATCTTAAAAACGCCAACAGAAAATAAAACATGAAGAAAAAAGATGGCAACCTCAATGAAGCAATCATGGAAAGCAAGGCGAAGGAGAGCAGGAGCCAAAGAAGCCTTGATCTTGAAGAGTTGATGAACCTTGGCTCGGATGACCTTATCAGCCTCAGGGCAAGTTTCCCGATAGAAATCATACTCGAGTGACCGAGCAGGAGCCTGACCGTCTTCCAGAGCCTCGCTATCCAACAGTATATCTTGAAATATCCAGAAGGAATTCGAATTGGAATTCAATGAAAAAGAAGACGAAAAGGAGAAGGAAAAATGGTTGGAGCGATTCGTCATCCTGAAAGATATCCAAACGCACAAAAGGACTATGAAAAAGCTCAGTGTTCTCATTGTAGCTGGCTCAGAGAATGACCTTGGCATCTTCTTTGGTTTTCTTTCTTTTGTTTTCTCTGCTCTTCTTTCTTTGTTTCTCTTCTGGCTTTCCTCCTTAAATGGGTTATCACGACCACGGGGGAGACCATCGAAATGGCGGGAAAGGGTACTGATTGAAATGACGAAAATACCCTTTTTAACTGAAAGGCCGTTAAGACTATTCCACGTCACTTTGTTGGTGTTACGATCATAGCCGTTGATCTCATAATAATTATCATTCATTCAGGAGGAACAGCATGATAAAGAAATATAAATGAAACGAAAACATGGACTAAATCGTCTGACACATATTCGAATAATGAATCAAATTACAATATCACTGCAGAACTTTACAATAGCATGCCAAAAAGCATGTAAATCCATTACTTCCGTTTGCCTATTGGCTATTTCTTGTTGAAGAAAAAGAAAATAAGAATAAAAAAAAAAAGAATAGCATTATGGAAAAGAAACAGGGCAGGGTTTTAATCACCCTGCATCAATGGCGGCTACACGATTGCTGGTGGATCATCCGGCAAACTGCCGCGAAACCAAGTTTCAAATATATTTCCTTAAAAATCACCAAAAGAAAGGCCTCACCAAACCCATGCTTAGGCCAATCTTGCAATGTATTCCTGGGAGAAGCCAAATTAATAGTTTTGACTTCTTTCTGTACCCTGATAAGTGATTAATAGCCAGAAGAAGATACTAAAACATTATGCTCCTTTAAGAGCTTCTGAAAATGAGCCAAACGAGTTTGTAACTGCATAATGCCAGCAGCCTTCTGAGAAAGAATAGCATTCAATCTCGATATATAATCGTCCAGCTGGTTTCCAGGTTTGTCTGCTTCAACCAGCAGGTTCATCTCCTGCAAATTTTAAATGCACATTTAATAAAACTTCAACAGATGTACAACCCTATGAACAGATATTCCTCCAAATCATGCAAGCAGCAGCTCTAACAACATAATAAGAAAGATAAGTACTGCTTTATAAATTACGTAATAGCAAACCAATGAGGAAAACAATGTGTTCAGAACTCAGATTCCAGCAGGGTGAAAAACAACTTAAAAATGAACTGATCTAATTGTTTACCTCTTTGACAATATTCATAGTCTCCTCCACTTGTTTTCTATGAGCATTTACAAGATCCTCCTCTTCCTGGGTAAAAGCAATGCACGAGCTTTTAAAATATAAACAAATTGCTTTTCATGTCTCTAACAATAGTCATTATCTTGCAAAATTACCTGCAGGAGGGCATTCAAATCATCATCTGATTTTGAATGCTTAAAATCAGTTCTGAGTGGTTCCTTCCATTTGGTCTGACCGTTAGGCTTCCATAACTTGTCCTCTGAAGTAGAGAAACTGTATTGATCTGGCTTCACATTTTTCTTCCACATCACTTTCTCCGGCTCATAGGAATCTTCTGATGCATCAAAATCATCTCTTTCATTTTGGTCAGGCCATGTATCATTAATATCATCCTCAAAAGTCGATGCAGTTGGTAAAACTGAAGATAAGGGCAGAGCAGTTGATTCTTTCAGGTTTAATGTTGAAGATAATACATCCTTCTTAGGATTTCCCCCTTTTGAAAGGCTCTTCACCCTGGATGTAGTTTTACATTGGATAGAAGTCAAATACATGAAAGGAAAAAGCAACCAAAAGCAACAGCAGAATAACTTTAAAACAGATGCTGAAGCAATTTTTAAATCAAATATATCTTATTCACCTATCAGCATATCTTAAGGTGTTCAAAGTGTGTTCACATGACCCAGAGCTTGGTGAAATGCAAGATATCATAACAGTACGTGAATTGCCCATAAATGAGTCCCTTAGAACCTCTGTAAGTTTACTGCCTCTGAAAGGAATGTGACCCTGATCATTGTCAAGAGCTCTTATGCACTCCTTCAAAGCTAACAAGCTCTTGTTGATCTCGGCACCTTCCATTCTGCATAACAAATAGAAATGCCTAAATTAAACAAGCACATCCACGACAATTAATTAAGTACACATCTAAAGTTGTCCCACTTGAAGAAAAATATTTGGAATGCTAGAACTGAACATCATGAATTGGAACCAAATTTCATCTGCAAAAATATCAATTCTGGGTGTGTTTAGACTTCTTAAACACCATCGTACTTTGAAATGTTTGACTTTATAATAAATAATTACGTAAAACTAATTAAGAGGCCTAGGCGGCTAAGACACGTACATGACTTGGAAGTGATCAAGAAATTCTGGACTATTTGGCGTAACTTCTTTGTCTCTGATATTTTTAGTCAGTTAGACAAATTTAGCTGCATTTATCCAGTTACAATGCATTGCAATCTAACTTTTATATCAGATGCTAAAAACATTTCTTCTTTATTCTCAACTCTTGCCTCCAGTAATGCATCAAAATATCAAGCCCTGCAACTAATCTGCTCTACATCGATGGTCATACCATTTTGCGATTGAAAGAATGCATTGTACCTTGTTTGCTTATCATTATCTGTGGTATCTGCACCTCGTTCACTTCCAGCAAGATCTATAAAGGAAAGCTTGCCAACAACACGGGGAGGCTTTGATTCATTGCCATCAACAGATCTCTTAATAGCAAGCTGAAGTATGGCATGAGAACGGGAGGATTCCTCATTTGCACCTGTGGTACCAGTACTTCTTGTGGCATTTCCTTTCTCAATAAGCTCCTTAATAGTCTCTACATCTGATACTCTGTACTCTTGCAGACCCACAATGCAAACTTGCTGCTTACCATCCTCTCGCATGCAAAGTTTTCTGTGCAGAGAAGGAGCGGTTTTCAATGAATTTAGAAACTAATAGCACTGACTAGAAAGGAGAAAGCTTATAACAACTTACTTCCTATCACTGAGGAGATCAAATAATTTTCCTCCATATATCTCAAAGAAGCTCACAAACAACTGAAATCCTTGGTTCCTGTATGTGTGGTGCATCAACCTCAAGATATCACGAGAAGCTTTAAGGGGAAGTGGCTTCATAGTATAGGTTTTTCCGCTTCCTGAACAAGAGAAAGACCTATAAGTGCCAGACGGCTTAGAAGTTGTAATTCAAAAATATGAAATAACTTGATGAAGCAGATAAATTTTAGTGTCCAACATGAAAATTTTGCAGTAAAACACAACAAAGGCATCCTTCAACCTTGCCAAATTTAGGCAGATTAAGGGGGCAAAAAAAAAGCCAATTACCAACCATAATGATAACTCGTTTGTCTTGCAAATGACCAACATGATTGTGCAGAAAAAATACAGAGAAATCATATTCAGAACAATTTAATATCATACAAAAATTTCACTAAAATGAATAAATTCAAATTTTGGCTCGTGCAAAATCAACTTCATCATAGTACTATCCAAGATTTTGGTGGCAGCTATTCACCTGTTTGACCATAGGCAAAACAAGTTGCTTTCGTGCGCTGAAAAATTATAGGAACTATGGGCTCCACAGTCTCACGATAGACCTACAGAATATAAATGAGACCAATATAGGCTGTGAAAAAATCATTCTAGGAATCCATGTCTTGTAATATATTCTTCCTTTATCCACTAATAAATTTATATCATCTACTCACCTCATCATTTGAGACCTCCTCATTCAGCACTGCATCAAAAACAAATTCATGCTTCTCCACGTATTCTGTTAGGTCAACCTACAAAATGTCAGGAATTAAATGCATCAAACAATGTGTTATGAGGATAAATTGATACTCAAAAATGTTTATATGAGTAATTGAAGTGTGTCAAAAGCCAAGCAATAAATGAAAACAACATAAATGCTGCTACTTTTTGCATGACTAACACATAATGTTTTTTGCAAGAAAGACTAATAATCATTAGACACAGAACCTCTGAAAATATAATTGAACCTCCTATGAGATTGCTGATTGCTGTATGTAACTGCTTAAAATAATTAAATGTGAAAACTGCATGCCATTATTCCCCATTCACATTTATTTGGGGCATCAAATTGGGATACACCCATTGGAGATTCTTTGGGTCATTTTGGATCCCTATGTTCTTATTTCACCCTTGTAGTATGGTATAATGTGGAGCTTATAAAGGATAAAAATTTTTTTTTGTTACCTTAAGTTTGGTCTCATGCACTACTAGGGAATTGGATAGTGTTTCTATAATATCTTCCTCATTCTTTGCTAACTCCTTTTTATTGAGAGGTCTCTTGCGCACCTGCAGTAAAAAAAAACCCATAGAAACTCTTAGGGCCCAGTGGTAGTAGTAGGGCATGTAAGATAACATGATGTTGAGCATTATTTTACTTGCACAAAGCATGTCATGCATGAATGTGGCTCAGCATGAATTCACAAGCTTCAACCAGCATCCACTGATCTTGCTGGTGTTGCATTCCTTTAGGGTGAAAATAGAACAAATTAAAAGAGATAATTGAAGGTAGATCATCAGAAGCAGACATACCACAACTTTGATCTTTGCAACTGAATTGACCTTCTCTTTGTCTGAAGCAAAACTTTTGAGGAGGCTATTCTCTGGCACACCACGAGCTCTGCCTGCTTGTTTGTTGTTTGAAATATAGGGTTCAGAGTCATCAAAGCTTCTACCTCGAACAGGATTATAGACTGAAGGACCATCATACAGGTTGGGAACCGGCATCTGTCACCAATAGACAAAAAGCATTCCCATAACTAAGCATGAAAAATTACACTACTCCTGATATGAATGTATCAGTTTCCCATGCCTTGGTGAAAGCAAAAATAGGTCTATCCAAAGCAGATGCAACACATTTTATGTCATTTAGTGCGATATCCACTGGTCCAAATGCTCATACAATTGAATCTCAAAACTTTTAACCTGCATGCTCTTAGGAAAATAAAAGTACAAATATCATTTATGTTTATTGCTGCTTCATGTTTGATGGACAGAAATAGAACTTGCATAGATAAAATGTAAGCCAACAACGGCTACTCTTTCACCAATTGGACTATGAACTCAGAGTGCATATCACACACACATGCCCTTAAGCACACATAGTGCACGTAAAATCTACACTCACTAAAAGATCACGACTCTTAAAAGAAATGTTGAGTGACCAACCTCAGGCAGGAGCTCCGTATCAAAAGAATGCAGATCTAGAAGACCAGGACTGAACTCACTGGGGGAGTCTTCACCATTCTTCCTCTGGCTTGACGGCCGTGAACTAACTGGAGGAGTTGTAGGCTCCGTGAAAAAGTCATTCCCCGTATTAAAACCCCTCTGCACATTTCTATACATTCTAGACCCGTGTCCTCCTCCTCCAACGCCACCACCATAAAAGGCATAATCCTGCTCTCAATTCAAGCCACAAAGTAGCACAATCAAGCATTTGAAATAATAACTACATTTGATCCATAAAGATCCAGAAACTAACCCTTCAATGTAAACCTTCTCTTCCTGATTTCTTTTTTTGGCATTGTTTTTCTTCTTTAGTAATAGAACATCAATAGAGCATTAAACTTTAGCAGATTAATTATTAAAATTCTCTTTTTCTCGTTTTTTTTTTCTGGCAAAAAAAACTTAGAATTTAGATCTACAAAAAAATTAAGAATTTGTCTATAAAGACGAAACCCCATTTGTACTCCAATAAAATGGTATCTAAAAAACTTCACTTTAATTTTTGTTTCAAAATATACCCAAAAAAAAAAAACTTTGACTTCGAGTAGCCGGCTTTCTTAACAGTTTTCCAAGCTGCGAAATAAACAGTCGAGAATTAAAATTACATAATTAGATCTAAAAGCATCTACACATTGTATTGTTACTAAAAATAGCAATCACTTTTAAAAATAGATTGATATTTTCAGTTGTTTTATGCATATCATCCGGAACCAAAGTTAAAAAATAAAAAGTTTACTCTAAAAAAAATTAATAAAAATGTGAGAACCTGAAGAGGAGGAATAGAGTTGTTAGAAGAGTGAAGATGCTGAAGACCAGCAGACTGAAGCCATCTCCCATTCGACGTTGTTTCCAAGAAGTTATCTGAGTATTGTCTCTGATGGTGCACCTGAACCCCTGTCGAACCAGATCTCTGCCCCTGTCCCCCCATTCCGTTCATCTCCCAACTCTCTCCCCTCCTCTTCTCAATTATTTATACTAACAATAAAGGAAAAAACCTTCGATGCTTCGATCCAAAGCTTCCCTTTTCTCTGTCCCTTGCTTAAAATAAAATGAACAAAATCAATGCAGCCGATCACCCGATTTACAGTTAATCGGATCTTAATCGGGTTTTTCCTGCTTAAAAAAAGAAAGAAGCTTCTCTCTTTCTCGAGCTTTGGCTTAAGACAAAGATTCAGAGGAAGAGTAAGAAAGAAGAGGACCCTGTCAATGAGAGGAAGAGAGAGAACTGGTTTTGATTTTTGAATTTTGAAGGCAGTTTCGAGTCATGTGCGGCACGTGCTGCGGAGGGAGACGCGAACGACGACGGATCGAGGGCCTGGTGGGTGGGTCCAGCGGGAGGGGTTGTAATTAATTTGGGGTTAAATTGGATTTTTTTTGGGAATGGGCCTATCAACAGCAACCGTCCCACATGGTGGGCCCAACGAATTAATCATTTGCGCGCTTTTGAGTCTTCTCATTCAAAACTCCCACTCTGGAGGGATCCCTCTAAAACCCCCGACACGTTTCATCTAGTTGAGCTCCTTTTCTTTTTTTTTTTCCCCCTTAAATTTTTTGCTGAAAAATAGAATTAAAATACTTTTAATTTTTGAATTATAAAAAGTTAATTCATGGACAATATTAGCATCAACTTTGTGGTATTCCATGGATATAACTAGGCCACGTAAATTTCATACATATGTCATATGAACCTTTTTTTTGTTATATTTTCACTTGAACGAAATTTTTTTTATTGTATTTTCATTTGAATATAAGTTTTTTTTAATTGAATGAAAGGGATTTAAATTTTATTCTTTTAAATAAAGATTCATGTACCAATCAATAAATCAAATATTTTAATATAACTACTTGAACATAATTATACATTATCTTTTTAAAATTAAAATGATATAATATTTTCAAATATCTCCAAACTATTTAATAAAATTTAAAAAAAAATTATTTTTTATTACATTCAGATAAACTTTTATATTTTTTTTATAATTAACGGTTGATTAATTATCATTAATCAAACATCACTTGTCATTTGTTATACAATCTGTCATTAATATGAAAAATAAAAGATGTCATATGATTATGTTGTTATATTACATAGGCATGTGTTATGTCATTATTTATTATAATATATCATCATATCATGTTGTTAATCATAAAATTATATTTAAGTTAAAATAAAAATATAAAAATTTAATTAAATATAATAAAAAAGTTAAAGTGTATTTGAATATTTTTAAATAATTCAGAAATTTTTTTATATATTACAATAATTTAAATTTACAAAATATCATATAAAATATTACTCGTATCATTCATATGAGTTAATTTTTAGTTGGGTTGATCGAAAAATGAATAAGCATTGATACCAGAAAAACAAAAGTTCAAACATGTGGGAATTTATTGAGAGGTAGGTTGTACATTTTAAAAAAAAAAAAAAAAAAAGAGAGCATTCTCGAAACTTAGGGTTAGATCGTACGGCGAACAATACCTCAAATAGCCAAATTCACATAAATCTCTGCGACCAACATTCATTGGACATTTGTAGGGTTCCACTCTAGATGTATAACTCCTGTCGGCCCACTCACTTATTTATTGGTCTATCCATCTAGTAAGTAATATCTGCCTTGCAGTTTTACTCTTTCTTTCATTACGGAAGCCTTTAATATTGTGAGGCTCGAAGTCTAATTAATACATATTAATGTCAACCCAATGCGGCCCAAGGCCTGGTATATGATGAATTCTCAAGTTTATTATATATATCTCTCCTTATCCAAAATAGAGTACCAAATCCAAACATTGAATTTATACCCTGAAAATATTACGCATTGGCATTTTTAATTCAAAAGATATAAAAAAAATCTTATTTATAAATAATTCTTGTTACAGTCCATGAAAATTTGAATATATTATGATATTATTAACTATGAACTCAAGTTTTCAATTCCAAAAATATACCATAAACTCAAGATCCGTAACATGTACATATTTCTTTATAATATTGTCATTAATTATATATCTAAGTATATGCATGCCTCAATGATAATTTCATTATATGTACTAGTTAACATAAGCAATTTCAATGAGCATATGATATAGACAGAAAAAAGTAACTTTCTCCCATTTCATAAATTTTAGAACTTCCTTTTTTAGGATTATAAAAAATTGGAGTCGCTAAATTCTAAGCGTTAGGTATTCTCTTGGGACAAAAGAAACATGATATTACTCTTAGGCGATGTTTGGTATTTTGTTAAAAATGTGATTATTAGGTATGTGATCACCGAAAAGATAACTTTATAATATTTGATATAACATGAGAAAATGATGATCATAAGAAGTGTGATTGTTGAAAAAATTACATTATAATGTTTAGTTTGGAGGTATTTTAATGGAAATGTAACATAAATTTTCAAAGTTACCCTTATGTATAAAAATATGAAGTTAAATTTATTTTTATATATGGGTACTTGACTATTTAGATTTGATTTGGGAGAATGAGACAAAGGGATTTTTTTTCAAAAACTGTCTATTTAATATATATATATATATATATATAAATAGTTAGTATTAATACGTAAAACATATATATATATATATAGGTATACTGGGACAAAGAGAGAAAGAAATACACATATAAAATCTGTTACATGATATAAAGTAAGTTTCTTAAGGCACCATAATTGGCTGACAATTTTTAGCCAATTAAGGCCCTATGGCCTTATTTTTTTTTAATCCATTAAAGGAAACCATAAAAAAAAAAAGGAAAGGAAGAAAAAAATGATCTGAAAATATTCTTATTAAACAAAGAAAAAATTGTGGCATAAAATATAAACTAAATAAAATAAAATAAATATATGATAAAATAACATATTTAGAATATTTAATTACTACATAATTGATAAAATCATATATGAACTTTTAAACAAAAAGAACGTTAATTAACTGATAATTTCATGATAATAAAAACTAAAAATATATAATTGAAGCTATTTAATTAAAATGTAAATGTTATATTTATATTAGAATGAGTAACATAAAATTAGTAAACTAATTTATTAAATAAAATTAAAGAATATTAAATAATAAATTTAAAAAAATTGAAATATTTATATTTATATATAGTATACTTACCTTATGAATAGTGATATGATGCATACATGCTTAACTTTTTTACTTTGAAGATTAGAAACCAACTCTTTAACAAGAAAATACACAAACCTATTACTAAACAAAATAGTTAAATGCTAATTTTGATCATTTACATTGCATTTTATTCAATTAGTTATATCCAAAAATAAACTCTTAGAAAGCTTAATTGATTATATCAACTATATTATGATCAATAAAACAAAAAATAAAGCTATATAATAAATTATTTTATGATATCTAAAAAAAATCAATATTTTAAAAGTTTGAAATTATTCAAATAAAAAAATTTTATCCCATAGCAACACGTTGGCAAAATTTTAGTATAACATAAATGATATTTGTTGGTTATTTTGAAATATTTTATTTTTTATCCCTTTAAATTTTCCCAACTCTTTGCATCAACATTTACTCAAATATTTAAATGTGCAATTTTTAAAATAATTTAAGACAATTCTATTCCAACTGAAAAAATAATTATCAATGAAATATTTGATTAAATTATTATCTATTTATCTTTATGTACAATTTTTATATTTAATATTAATAATTATTATTACATGAATACATAAATTACATAAATAAAATAGTCTTGTCTGGACGCTTCAACGTGGAACCAGAGCTGGGAGGGAAGCTTCTACACATTTGCTTTCCCACCGACTAAGTAAACCCACGCCTTTGAACCTTCATTGAAGCTTCTGGAAACAACCCAACACCACCAGCTAGCGCCTCTTTTATACCCTCCCATCGCCCATCCCTTAATCAATTTGCAAACTCAAAATCAGGGAAACGTAAAACGCTACGGCTTCCTCCATTGAAGCAAATCGACAACCATCTGACAGCCATGGCCGAAGACGGAGCCGTTACACTCTACAACAACACGGCCATCACTGACGCTAAGAAAAACTCCTTCTCAATCAAAGTGGCCATGGCTCAAATGCTCCGCGGCGGCGCCATTCTCCAAGTCTCAACACTCAGCCAAGCCAAAATCGCCGAAGAAGCAGGCGCCTGTTGTTTAGTTCTAACCGAACCCAATTGCCAAGGCATTTCACGCATGCCAGAACCTTCTCTCATCAAACAAATTAAACGCGCTGTTTCAGTCCCTGTCATTGCTCGTTCCCGCATCGGCCATTTTGTCGAAGCCCAAATACTCGAACGAGTCGGAGTTGATTACATCGACGAAAGCGAGGTTTTAGCTATAGCTGACGAAGATAATTTTATTAACAAGCATAATTTTAGATGCCCTTTTGTTTGCGGCTGCAAAAACCTCGGCGAAGCGTTGAGGAGAGTGAGGGAAGGAGCTGCCATGATTAGAACACAAGGGGATTTGTTAGGCACTGGTAACATTGCTGAAACGGTTAAGAATGTCAGGTCTGTGATAGGTGAGATTAGGGTTTTAAATAACATGGATGAAGATGAAGTTTTCGCGTTTTCCAAGAAAATTGCTGCCCCTTATGATTTGGTTGCTCAAACTAAGCAAATGGGGAGGCTGCCAGTGGTGCATTTTGCCGCTGGTGGGATTGTGACTCCTGCGGATGCTGCGTTGATGATGCAGTTAGGGTGTGATGGTGTTTTTGTGGGATCAGAAGTGTTTGATAACTGTTCTGATCCGTATAAGCGTGTTCGGGGGATTGTAGAGGCTGTTAGGCATTATAATGATCCTCATGTTTTGGTTGAGAATAGCTGTGGATTAGAGGAGGAGATGGCAGGGCTTAATGTTAGTGAGGAGAGGATGGAACAGTTTGGAGAGGGAGGGGCTTGATCAAGTTATGTATCTTCTTTTTGGTGGTCGTTTTGGTGGTCGTTGTTGTGGTGGTCGTTGTTGAGAATATGAATCTGGCGTTTTCTCACGGCTGTTGTTGTTTTAGTTTTGCTAATGTTGATGATTAGGATATGCTGTATTTTGTATGTTCAACTCTTTGACAATATAATACAGAAATGAAATAGAATAAGTTGGTCAATCAGTCTGTCTAACTGTTTATGTAATTAATAACTTTTTTTTGGATAAGATTGATTCAGTGGTTGTTTGCTATCTAGTGATTACAGATTCCCAGTGTCGCCATACTGTTGAGTTCCTTGATCAAGAAGTTTTGGTGTTTTGTGTAATTAAGCATTCTTTCCTTTCCTCCTAGGCTAACATGATAGGATGTTTGCTCTCTGTTTTGTACCTTCGATTATGGCTCTTTTTTTCTTTTAAACTTTTGCAGATTAACATCTCTGAGCTAATATAGAGGAGAATCACAACTGTAATATTAGTTGTGTGTTTATTGGTAGAATTGCATTACTGGTAGGAACCTGTTGTTGTGAACAAAAATCACACGGCTATTGCTTCACAGGGCTTCAAGTTGCCAAATTCAGTTTTGATCCTATAACTGAAGCAACAGAGTACAGACCATTGTTAATTAGTCCATAGCCTTTCTCTGTGCTTCATTCATAGTTACCATTGCCTGGTAGATTTTTTTTCTTCAATGCAAATGATGCATGCTAATGTCTTCAAAGAGATTCATCCAGTATAGCTGCTACAATTATGGATCAGATTTTGAAAGTCGTTTATTTTTTTGTGGCCTTTTTTTCTTTCACACGGTTGCTATTTCGCATTTATGGTTGCACAAGTAACTCAATATTCATCATATTTATCAGCATTTCTAAATAGATGTTTGGATGTCATTTATCTAAATAACATGCGTAAATATTGCACAAGCATGCTGGGAACATCTCATTTTGAAGTATATGAGTTTTTGAGGATGCCGGTCTAACAAATAAGATCATGTAGATGTGCTTTCTTGTTTCTATTTATATAAATGAACATTGGATCCAAGTGTCTCAAGCCAATACTATACTCCAGGCTTTTCTACTTCGTCTCTCTATACTTGTTGGTTGATCCTGTTTATAGTTTCTCTGAAACTTGTAGAATTCACAAAACAATACCTTCTTTCCTTGTTCCTTTAATCAATGTTTATGTAGATGGCCAATGGAAAAAGGTAACAACCAAGAAAACTTAATCTCATCTTCACTCTCTTTTCCCTGTTGCTTCATTCTGATTCACCAATCTATAAACTTGCAGCGTAAAGGAGTTGCAGTGCAAAAATTCTAGTCATCACTGCCGGGCTTTGCTGAAGAGGCAGGATCATGTGCGAAGCTGTTCACTCTGGGGCACCATGCATGGCTGATTCATCTCTAGTTAAGCAAATCTGATGAGTTACAATGACAAGAGTATGTGCAATTACCAGAAGCAGTTGGTGTAGACTAAGTTAAAGAGAGTGAACTCAAATTTGATGATGATAACAGATGAGTCATGAATGTGATAAATTGATAAGATGGAGCATGTCCAGGTTGGTATATAAAAATATGAATAAGGATAAGAGGTTTGCAGTCAAAGATGGCGGTGCCTCCTGAGCTAGTAGCACAAAATATAGAGGATGGATCCCTGTTGGATCGATTCTGGAAGCAGACGGGTTCCTATTGATGTGGCGCAAATGACGCGAGAGAGTGTGAGAGGTGCATGTGGGGTCAGTAATTTTTAACATGTGTTGGGCCATTATATGCACTAGGGTAGATCAGCTGGGGCCTGGATAATGCCAAGGCAAATGAACTGACATGGTATGCACTGGCTGATCGAGCTAGATGGTGCGGAAGGAAAGGACAGAAGCTAGTGGAATGTGTATAATGCATTGAACAAGGTCCTTATTGTTTATTGTTGGACATAGAATCTGTTTCTCCATTGTATCTGATTGTATAATGCTGATGGAATAATGTAGAATCAATTGGTTAATTAATCTCATGACTTTTTCCATGGAGGTACTTTATTTCTCGTGGCACAATGTCTTAAACCTGATCAGATCAATGCTTGTCTAGACTTTGAAGTTGCGATGTACAGTCTTCCCAGCTGCTGACAGCGAAGACAGAATAACTTCAATTTTTTCAATTGTTTCTCTTTTTGGAAACATTTATATCCAGAATCTAGCAGTCCTTCAATATCATGTGATATTATACCTGAATCTTAGCCTGCTCTTATAAGCTATAAATAAGTTGTGATTGAATTACCATTACATGGTCTATATCTTTGATCCTCTTTAAGTATTGTCCAGATTATTCTCGATTGTGTTCTCTGTCTGAATGTTTCCATTGTTGAATAAACACCTCAATGCAATCTCGTAAGCAGAAAATATAGCCCCATTCACTACAAAAGCTCTAGCAACAGCAGTTCCTAGTCCTCGCCATAGGACGCCAAATCCGTCGTGTTTTACACTTTTCTGGAGGCAATCAATGATACCATTGTACTTTTGTGGGGAGGATGGTGACTGAGCCTGCACTCTGGTCTTTACAACATCTAAGGGATAGCAGCAAATCCAGCTAGCAACCCCTGCTAAACCTCCTGCTATCAGCATTGTTCTCAGACTCTCTTGGCCACTCTTTCTGCACCCTGGATGAAGCTGTTCTCGCATATACTCATACGTCCAAAAGTAGAAGCCATGAGCAGGTGCATCTCTAAGGACAGTGATGGTAAAACCCCGGTATAGTCCCCTTAAGCCTTCTGTTTTCAGTATGCTTTTAGCAACACCAACTGGCCCTGTATGGGCTCTGGGCAATTGGAGAGTTGGATAGCTGGTATTCTGCAATTGGAGGCGGATTTTTACTAGTTCTACTGGAGAGAGCATTATGCTCTGTAGGGCCCCAGTTCCAACTCCTGCCAGAGCAACACCTTTGTAGGCAGGAGGGTCAGTGGATGAAACAGATGAGTCAAATGCTCGTGAAAGAATAGCATATATCTGGAAAACCATAGCATTCTGCAATGTGCAAATCTTTCTGTCAGCACGGAAACAAAAGAAAAATGCAAAATCAAAATGAGATCCAATTGTCAAAAATTATTGAAGACCTACACGCTTGTGAGGTCACCCTTCTAGGGCTGTGCAACCTGAGCTTAATGGTACGTTTGAGCAGTCCAATATACACTCAAAGGAGCTATATTTTGAATGTCCATAATGCACATTGTTGCATGCAAGATAGCTTAGATAAAATTACTGCAAACCAAGCAAGAATGTGCCTGTAATATCTTTCCAGTGTTCTCTTATGTGGAATGGCTAAGCATTACAGGTAAACAAGGTATAAAATAGCTTCCTAAAATGAACTTATAACCTCACCTTTCTAAACTCTTTAATGGGAGCAGCAGGGCACAAGCACCCATCGGGAATGCTATCATTGCTGTTGAAGTTGACCTAGGTGATTTTAAGATGATTTAGAGAGGAAAACTTTCATCTGTGAATTCTTTTCTGTTTTCTCTCTCTTTTTTCTTTTGGGTTGATCAAATAGGACTCTGTCCCTGAGTGATTTCTTGCAGAGATCAGTTCTTGTAGGCAAAGTAACCCTTTTTCTTAGAGAAAAGAATGTACCACTTAATTGATGATATCTACCTTATTATAATAAAAATATAGGATCAAGCGCAAGGTATGGACTATGGAGGAAAGAAGGTGAGGTCAGGTCTCAGCAAAATCAAAATCCTTATTAAAACAAAAGAATACAGCCAAATTCTTATCATAATTTTTCAGCAGGATGTACATCCTAATACATAAGCGTGACTGGAAAACATCATCAGGAAAAGAAAAGGAATATTATCAGATATTGTAACATTGATAAACTAGAGGCACCATATCAGGCCAAATTCCTGGACAATGACTTTACCAAATATATACATAAAAAAAAAAAGAAAACCAAGTCACCAACCCCCATTTTTAATAGAACGTGATTAATACCGAAAAGCACTGTGACACCAGTGAAAGCAACAAAATCTCTAATAAGCCAAAATACTTTTCCAAAGCACCAGCTTCAATAAACATAAAAAACCAGGAACCAAACAAGATTGATGAGTTCACTTGGTTAAGAACATTTCATCAGCAAGCTCCTGATAAGGTTCTAAGAACCCTCCATGTGATCCACTTAAATGCACTTTTGAACAAATTTTACTACAGTAAGATATCTTCAACTCAAAGCATCAAAAAATTCACAGCTAACTTGTGATCCACATAAACAAAACCTTAGATTGAAAATATTGATTGAACCTCTGGGACATAAATAGAAAATGAACAGATGAGAAAGGAACCTGAAAGGTGACTGATGCCAATGGTGCACCCATGCCTCTATAGAGTGCACCAGGTCCTTCCGTCGCGACAACCCGGCGCAGGATGCTAAGGGCGGAACCTGAATTTGAGCTTTGTTGCCGGATTCTGAGGGTGTCGAGTGGATAACCAGAGATGATACCAGCCATGCCACCAAGCCCTCCGGCCATAAATTCTCTTCCCCAGCTACTTGCAAGAAACTCTGGCCAGAAGTCCATTATGCTCCAAATCTCATTCTCCAGACACAACAGAAATATGAAGGTTTCTTGTTTATGTCCGGAACTCCCAACTCTGTCTCTGTTTCCTTCTTTTATACACAAGCAGCATGAACAGGACAGCTGTAGTCTTTTTTTCTTGCACGGCTCTGAATCTTCTCCCTCCTTCCCTGCTCAAACTAGAAACAGATTTTTATCCTTCCTTCCTTAAGAAAAAGCTTATCAAGTCTCTCTAAGCTTGAGAGATCAAAGAACATGCCTAGGTAACAACTTAACATACAAAGAATATAGACTTTCTAGACATAAAAAGGCGATATACCTAAAGCACCTTTTCTGTCCCTCAACCTTTTATCTGATTTCTTGCAAATGAAAAATGAAAACAAAAAACAAGGTTCTCTGTCTCCCTGTGTGTTATCTCTCCCAGACTTGATAAAACTGGAGTTCCTTTTCTTTGTAAACAAGGAAAACAAAAAATGACCTGATAATCCTAATGGTGCACCTCACTTCCAACACAATCTTTTAGTTTCTTCCCTTCCAAAGAGGGGAGAAAAAGCAACACCAAGAAAGAAAGAAAGAGAGAAAAACAAAAGACTCGGGAACCGGAAGTCTGCAGAGACCCAGTTTTTCTTGTTTGTATACTCTTACAAAAATAGGAGCACCGAAACAAATGTCACCAGTTGCTATTTTGTTGGTAGTGTCCAGGAGGAGGAAACGGCCAACTTCCTCTTTTCAGGTCACCATTAGCAGCTTCCCACGTGGCCCAACAAGGTTTCTACACGTGAACTTCCCCTGCACCCCTGGTCCTTTGGTGCATTTGGTTTTGCGTTAGTGTTCACTTCCTCATCCCAATGAAAATTGGCTTCAGTGGAGGAATGACACAACCCAATTTTTGCCCAGATGATTGCTGATCTTTATTTATTTATTCGGTGTTTATAATTGATAAACGGATAGACTATCGGCCAATTTAAAATTGGGTCATGCAAATCCAGTTGCCTGCGCTGTATACAAGGTATAATCAACCAATGACTTGGATATGATGAATGACCTAGGAATTGCATGGAAAGGATGACCATAAGGTGAGGTTGTTGCAACTTGCAAGCAGTTTGTACACGACTGTTAGGGAAGGAAGGATGCCTTAAGCTCCATTTGTTGGAGGAGATTTCTTGATTGGATGTGGTAGGGAGGCCACCCACGGAAAACACCAGCAGAAGTGGGCCACCTTAGAAACAGGCCATGTTGAAAAACATGTGACAAATACGTGGAACTGTCTCAGGATGTTGCTTGGTTCTCAACTAGTTCTGGATTTTGTCCTTTGATCCGGTGGAGCTTGCAATGCAGGAGTTGATGACTTTGTAGCAGGGCAAAGTTTCCTCAAAACTTCTGCTGACTGCTAAATGCCTTAGTCACGAGAGAAAGAAAGATGAAACACAACCCAGTGCTTCTACTTGATAAGATCACAAATCTCCTTAGTCGAGTACCTATTTGGAATTCTAAAGCATCTGTCTCATAGCATCATATTATAGAATTAAATAAAGCATGTGATGCAATCAGATCGGACAAGTTATAGCCACATACCATATCCAAACTTTCTTATATTATTATTATGTAGTAAAATAAAAAGGATAGAGCTATATTATATTTATTCAAAGATCATGGTAGATTATGATGCATTTTAATAAACATAGTAATCATACCATATTCAAATAAATTTTCATTTTATGAATAATTTTTTATTGTCATACTCTTCCATAAATATCAAAGATAAATACTTCATCGTACTATCATTATCATTCAAGATTGAAATAATATTTTAAAAAGATTTTGAATTATTAAAAAATTTACAAAAATTTTTATTTTTTATTAAATTTGTATAAAAATGTCTACAATAAAAAATAAAATTTTATTTAAATTTTTAAATAATTCTGCGAAACCGAACGATGTTTATGATCCTCTAATCCTTTTGATTTCCACAATCCAATGTGAATGGCCAATGGGCTTGTTATTGGGTCTAAACTCTAAATCCCAAAACCCAACGTATCTCCCATTCATATTCCTACCCGAAGTCGGCTTCTGTTAAAACAAATTCAACAAAACCTTGAAAAACTAGAAAGGAGTGACGGTGATAAGAGCGGCAACACCGTGATGGCGTTGCTAACAACAGCTACACTGACTAAACTCCCTTTGAGTCTTTCCTCATCGTTTCCGTCTTCCAATAGTTCTACTTCGACTTCGACTTCGACTTCAAGCTCTAGTATTAAATTTCAACATCAGACACATAATTTTCGCTCTTCATATCTCGGGCCGTCGCCGGCTTTTCGTCGAAATCCGATAACGATAATTCCTCGTACGAGCTACAACGTAGGGAAGAGACATGTTGTTTGCATGGCTCCCGAGGAAGAGAAAATGACTCGCCGCTCTCCTCTCGATTTCCCCATTGTAAGTCTTACCAAAATCTCTCTCTCTCTCTCTCTCTCTCTCTCTTCTTTGATTCTTTAGAACTTTCTTTTAGTAAGGCGTTTTCTTTGGTTATTTGGTAATGGGTGCTGAATGATGTGAGGACAGTTAAGGTTTTCTGGGTTTCTGCTGAAGTGAAATTTTTTTATTGCAAAAGATGGAAAATTTATTTTTTAAATGGAGGTTTTTACGGTTCTTATGCATGGAAAATTTCACTGAATTTAGGCATTTTTAGTTAGATATATATTTGTTAATATTTCTTTTTGAAAGTGGGTACTTTGTATTTCTGTTTAAGAAGAAGACATTGGTGTCTTTTAGTAGCAAGAAAATAGCTAGGGTCCCTGGTTTTTAAGGCCTAATTGTGTATCTAAATTGAGGAACTAATGTCCGATTAAAAGGTCTTAGAAGTTGTGCCGTAGTTTGGTCATAGCAATTTTTTATATTACGAGCTCTTCAAACAATTTTGAAGCTTGATGCTGAAATCTCAATGTCTCATAGGTTGATGGACAGTTTGAAATGTACTAATTTCATGGTGTTTTTTCGTAAACATATATAGAATTTTTATCATATTTAGCACTATGTGAGGTTAGATAGGTGTGCTTGAGAATTCAATGAAGAGGCCGCTTAATGTGTTGGACACCTTCTTCTTTGTTATAATGGAGGGTGCAATGCAATAGCTATGTTTCTATTTTTGTTCATGACAGTGGTTTGCTATCTTTGGTGCATGTTCCAACATGTGAGCCAATGATTGTAAGTATAATCTGATTGCATTTCTTATACCCCTTGTGGTTATTAATAATCAAAGATCTTCTTTTTCATTTTCTTGCATTGAATTCATAATGGCAATCTGTTGCCTCATCATTGTTGAGTTATGCTGATTCAATGACTGTTATGTAGTTTCATACATTTAAGTTGCATTCTCTAGCTTATGCATTGCTGAAGGAGTTCAATGGTACATGACAACAAATTCTGTAATGATTGTGCACTGAGAGCTTGTGTGATTGCTCAATGCTCAATCACAAAGTAAAAACGTAACTCTGGCGTGCCAGTCAATGATATGGCTGTTGAGGACTTGCTTAAAAAATGCCTGTGTCTGGTTCATTGTCCAGATTCCAAATCTTAAGCTTAACAGGTATAAAATCATACAAGATCTCCTTTATAGAGGTTTGTTGCATATTTTCATTATTGTAAACATGGGAAAACTGAAAAGGCATAAATTCTAGAACTTCTTTGTTATCTTTATCGCACCTTGGTTTACTTTATGGTGCGGAGCTTGTTCTGGAAAGTTGGCAAGTCTTGAAGATCACTGAGCACATTGCTTATATGTTGAAGGTGCTCAAAAATCTTGCCAACTGATAGCTAGGTTTTTCACTTCCCTTACTCCATATCCATTGGGACCAACACTGGAATGATTAGTTACTTTGGAATCATTAGTTACTTGTGCCTCTTGCATAGGACCAAAGGACTCAGGGAAATTGAAGACTAGCTATATTGCACTATGGTTGGTCTCTATCTCTCTTGTTGTTAGTTTATAGCAACATATTGGCAGGGTTTTAAAATACGACACATGATATTGTTTAGAGATAGGCTGTCAGGAAACTTGTGTAATGACTTGGAACTAGGGGCAAATACAAGTATCTAGGCCTGCTATATTTTGGAAATGAGAAGTATAATTGTAACATAACCATCACAAGGTAAGGCCCTTTAATTGGGATTCCCTATGCTTTCCTCTTTCTGAAATTTCTAATCAAATTAATGTGCTGTTTTGATGCACTTTATATGAATGCATTTCATGTTCTACAGACAGATTTAGTTGCATTTAGGCATTTTATTCACCCATGCAGTTTCTGATTATCTTGTATGCATTGCTTTAATGTGGAAGGAATGGGAGAGGCCCAAACCTGGGCGAAGACCTGATATTTTTCCCCAATTCAGCCCAATGAAAACACCATTACCTATACCAATGCCAGCCGATCCTCCTGAGGAAGAAGAGGAAGAGGAAGAAAAGAAAGAGGAAGAAGAAGAAGACCCTGAAAAGGTAGAAGAACCCGAAAACCCAGAGAAGCAATAATGGAGAAATTCAAGTTCTTTGATCACCTTAAAATTTTGCTTTGACTTGATATAAGCTGGTACTGCCGATATCCAAGCATATAGACGCTGATGCAGAAGGCTGAGCGTGGTTTAGCTGTTCTCGGGTTGATAAATGCACTTTGAAAATTTGGGGTTGTATGATTCTGTAGCCAGTTTTGTTAGATAAAGAAGATTAGATATGGTTTCTGTTTTGGTGGTATAAAGTTTTAATGTTTGTTAATTCTTATTCCTCACAATTTGGCTCTCTGAATGTGTGGAACTGCTATTCTCGCTGTCAGATCCCGAGGCTTTTACCGAATTTAATTATATAGGTCACACCTAGAAATGCTTCTGATTATTTTTGAAGACGACTAGTGAGAACAAAGTTGACCCGAAAATGGACAATGGTTGGAGTACCGTGGAAAGGATTCAACGTTTTCCAACAAAATAATTAAGGTACTAAAACGGTCATAGGTAGACAAGAAGTTCAATTTTTCGGTTAACAGTGAATGAACCATGGCATTTAGCATCATTAGTCATGGAATTATTCTCCAAAATACATGGCATTCTTAATACCAAAGAAAGTTTGATCAATTCACCATTTTGGTTCATTTAATAGATTGAAATGAAAGCGAGCGAGCTAAATACTCACGTGACAGTTTCACATTTCACCACTGATAAATTAGCACCAGAAATATGCTAATTTCGAACCATATTCGAAGTACCATATATATATATATATATATGCTACTTATAGTATGTGACCAAATTTGTAATGCTATTGAATTAAAATCTTAACTTCATCCATCAACAATAAAATCAGCACCTATCAAGATGAAAATCCACCATGCAAGAACTAGGAAAAGGCAAGGACAGACTGTACCGGGGTACGAAAGGAATCGGATGTCCAATACAATTATTGGGCAAACCAAAGCCAATTCCAGGCATTAGCAAACCACAATTAATAAAAAAAAATTTAACACACCGGCTAAAGCACAACAGTAGAACTTAAATTTATTTATGCTTGACATAATAACATTGAACACAAGGTTTGTAGCAAATTCAGCATGAAACTAGACCATCAAATCATCCCAATAGATGTTCTAGACATCACACTAAAACGAAAGATATGTCATCATAATATAAGTTGTGATCATAACACAAGACTCAATATTATCTATTTCAGTTTGGGTTCTAGACCCTCATTTCTTCCCACTCTTCTTCAGGCCAGTACCACCAAATGACCCCTTCTGTTGTGCCTTCGCTCTCAGCTCTTTAAGTGCCTGCTCACCACAAATAATATATCAGATTGGTGATTCACAGAACATCCTTACAAAGAGAAAGGCGCTAAAGGGAAACACAAAATTGGATGAGTCACAAAACCGATAACTCACCTTCTCTTCTTCCTTCTTTTTCTGAATGTTTGCCAAATCGTGCTGCACAATAACAAACGAATTGGGATTAGGAAAATGCCTCCAAATTATGCCACCTTGATTCTTTGGGAAGACACAATCTCAGCACAGGAAAAAGTAGACCATGAATACATAGAACTTAATCTAAAAATTTTTGCATAATTTTGCCCCTAATATCAGCAAAATTAATTGAATTTAATCTAGAACAGATTGCAATTCACAAGATACCAGCACAAGTTCCAGAAGTTAAACATGATTTGTTTTCAATTCTAGATCGAAATTCTAGCAACTTTACTAATATCAATACAATTAAACAGGATACAAATTTAAAAAACAGTGCCATGGTATTAACAGGAAACTAAATCTTGAGAAAAAGTAATATATCAATCGAACCAACAAAAAATATTATAATAATCCGCAGTATGCAAAGATCTTTTTCTTTTGTTTTACATAGTAGATCGATTCAATCAATATAAATAATAGCAATACCTCGTCGTATTCTCTCTTTTCAGATTTGGCTTGCTTCAAAGGCTTCAATTTGCCACCTAAAAAAGCCCCAAAAATACACAAAAAGAAAATAAAAACCTTCGGAAATAACAGGAACTAAAAAAGAAAGTTTTGTTGAAAATACTGAACATCGAAATTAGCAAAGCCAAGATTTTCGAATGAGCAAAAAGAGAGTACCTTGCTTGGACGACATGGTTGGGAATCTAGGGTTAGGGTTTGCGTCTGAAATTCTAAGAGATCGGAAAAATTGGGGAGACACAGAAGAAATAAAAGCCCTAACCCTTACACAATTATTGGGAATTTGAGGATCTCCTGAAGACCCATATAAATAGAGAAAGTACTACGCACGCGCTTAGCGCGTCATCAGCTGGCTGTCTCAAAAAAAGGAAGCTGCCTCTAGCCTTCTCTGACACTATTCTTTCGGGAGAAAAAAAACACTTTACAACGAATATTAATTATTTTATCCCCTACAACTCTTTGTTATGGTGGTGATCGTAATTTGCTAGCTAACTATTGTTAATTAATTAAAGCCTAATTATTCTTATAAATTGAAGCCCATGCCAAGAAATGGCTATAAATTAATATTTTGGAGACCTCAAAAATCTATTAATTGAGATATTATTTAATTGATAAATTAATAATTTATTAATTTACATATTAATAAAAATTAATTTAAAAAATATTTTTTATTTTTTTTAAACGTTGAACTTAATACATGAATTGTGTATTATGATTGTATGAACAATACCTAATTATTGAATTATGAATTATCATTATTCATGATCAATAAATTATTGAAAACGTTGTGAAAAATAATAAAGAATATATACTTAAAGTAATAAGCACATTGCATAATTGGTCTAGAAGTTTTAAGATTTAAAATTAAAGGTAAATTTTCAAAAAGTTTTTGAATCATTTAAAAAAAATCAAAATTTTTATTTTTTAATTATGTTCAATCACGTCTTTATATTTTTATTTTAGATTCAATAGACTTTTGTTAGATTAATTATTCTTTATTGTTTGAAATGACAAAAAAAATGACAAAATTCATTCAACTTATAAAAGATTAAAGCGCTCACATCCCTAAACAATGTCAAACAAGTTTGAAAAAGAAAAGAAATGAAAAAAACTTTGAAAAATACATTCTGATCTAAATCTATCAATACATATTCTTCATGTATTAATACATTTGTATATGTATTAATAGATTTTAACATCTATCGGCATATGTTCTTCAGTAAAGTCAAAACTTAAAAAGTCAAACTTAATCTATTAATACATTCTCAATTGTATCAATAGAATTGAGATAGAAAGCTTACTGATTTAAAAGTATCAATATATTTTTTAAAAATATCAATACATTTTCAACAGAAGTGCTTACTGTTTTAAAAGTATTAATACATAGACATATGTATTAATACATTTTAAATAAAATGTCAAAACTTTTACAAGTAAGTTCAAATGTATCAATACATCTCGATTGGAGTCCAAAAATAAAAGGCAATGTATTGATACATACACATATGTATCCATACAACGTGATCGTTGAAGCCTTGAATGAAGAGAAGAACAACTATTTTCATATTAAATGCACTCCCAACTACCTTTAAAGCTTCAGTAACTATAAATACAAACCTTTTTATCATTTATGAAGGTTAGAAAACTTGAAAATATTAGCCAAGTTACATTCAAGACCCATTGTGCTCTTCTTAAATTCAAAAAATCTTCTAATCAAGCATTTATTAAGCTCTTATCTTATCATTTAACCACTATACCAAATTCTTTATTCAATGTTTAAGAGGCTTATTTGCTGTGCTTATATTCTTCTCATTGGCAAGCTTAAGTGGTTATACCTTGATCAATAGAAAAGGTAGAGTAGTTATACTTTAACTATAAAAAAGCATTGTATTGAATGGTCATGCTTAATTCACAAAAGGTATTGTATTGAGTCTTAATTGAATAGTGCATTTCAAACTCTCTAATGAATCTAAGGGAGAGGACGTAAGTAAGAAAGTCGAACCTTTATAAAATACTTGTGTTAATTTCTCTACTCTTTTCCTTTTACTTGAAATTTAATTTTCTTTTATTGATAAGAGCTCAATTAATTTGATCATTTTCAAACTAAACAAGTGATTTAAAGAAGGGATTTTATTCTTTTAAAAATTCAAAGGGTTTTTAAAATTTTTAAAATAACTCAATTCAACCTTTTTTGGACTTACTCACATTAAGCTTATTAATCTAACAACCTTTATAACTAATGTTTGACCAACTATCATTAGTTAAAATATTACTTATTGTCCATGTGCTATTGACATGAAAAGTGAAAAAAACTACATAATTATATCATTATAGCACAATAATATACTACGTCATCATTTATTATGACATGTTAATATGTCATATCAGTTTCATGTGACATAAAATAATAAATAATATTTTGACAAACAATAATTAATTAACTATTAGTTGTAATAGTTTATTTTGTCCAAAATAAAAATATAAAGGTTTGATTAAACATAATAAAAAAATAATTTATTTGAATTTTTAAAATAATTTATAAATTTTTTTAAGTATTATGCTAAAATCAAAATATGCTACAAATGATATTCTTTATTGTGACAAATATTTAAAGCAAAAAACAAAGATTATATTGACCAATATGAATGTACAGAATAAATAAGCATAAAACTTATATAAGATTTTTTATGAGTTTTTTTAAATCAAATTTCTTAAGTATATAGATTGAACCGCAACTATCAAATAATAAAAAACTTAAAATCGAAAACTTTTAAAATTTTCTTTTTATCATTGAGACAAGACATTTTATCAATATCAATAATTATAAATTTTAATCACATGGTAATGAAATTATCCAAAATTTTGTTATGCCATTTAATTAGTGAGGATAACAATGACACGTTTCAACTTTATCATGTAAATTATTTTTACCTAATTAGAATTAATAAGTTAAATACTCAATTGAGCAAAACAAAATACATATTTTTAATTATCAAATTTTGTAGAGGTTAGATTCGACATTCATTAACTTAGCCTACTTCATTCTTATGAATTTTATTTGCAAGGCCATTATCCTTTTCTCAAAAGGTTAATCTAATGGGGTGTGCATCGTAGTTATTTATAAGCTTTCAAGAACATCTCTATTTACCTAATATGAAATTAAAACACTTTACTTATTCTTTTTGAAATGCTCGACATGCCACAAAAAGTCATTTCAAAAACAAGAGAAAGCAATAATAAATGCGAACAATACTAATGAAATATTTTTAGGTGCAAATTATTTTAGGACAAGGCTTCTTGAATGAGTAGAATTTTTAATATTTCAGAACTATGGGGGCATTTTTTATTTTTTGGTCAATAAGTAGGGGATTCATCCACTTATCACAAAGCATATGTTGGGAATTTAAGTTTAGAGAAAATTTTAAAATATGCATAATTTCATTTTTGTTATGGGATGATAATTAAACAAGCATACATCTACTTAATAGGTATTAGTAACTAATGGTAGCATCCGAGTATTCGGCTCGTTAGTTAGTACATAATCTCCTTCTTTAAAGAGTAGGGTTTGAATTTTCTTTTTTTTAAAAAAAAAATTAGAAAATGTAATGGTTAGATATTTCTAACCTTAGATCTAGATTAGAGAATCAAGAAAAAGTTGATAGTTAAACAATAACATGCAAGCGTTTGAATCTAAATTCTCTATCCCCATTTTTTATCTCATTTTCTATTTTAATTATTACAAATTGTTATATATCTACTTTTTTTTGTTATTAAATTAATATATATTTGACTTTTCAAAAAACAAATAATACATATTTAATTTTAATTTTTTTCTCCTCATTTTCTTTTATTTTATTTTTTCTCTTTTTCTCCCTAGATGAGGTTTACCCATCATTTAAACTAGTCGCCAAAGGCACACCACCGCTAACCCTTCCTTTTCAGTCAGTAAACCTCAACTCTAAGACATGAAAATTAAAAATTAAATGCATATAAAATGTAAAAATGAGTTGCAATGGAAGCTGAAAATGAAAGGTATAAATCCTTTCACTTTGGGTATTCAATACTTGAGTTAAAGAAGAAGGGTGTCGGTATTCAAGCGTGAAGGGAGAGGGAAAAAACATATGAGAGAAAAAAGAAGAAAAAAAATTAAAATTAAATATGTAGTAGTTTAATAATAAAAGAATATTTACAAAAGTTTTTAAATTATTTTAAAAATTTTATAATGTTTAATATAAGATAAGAAAGTGATAGTTATAGAGAATATGATTGTTAAAAAAAATTATATTATAATGTTTGATTTAAAAATATTTATTAAAAATATATTATAAATGTATAAAATTACCCTTATATATGATAATATGAAATTGAATACATTTACATCCTTTTTAATATAAATTTTTAACTTTTCAATTTATTTCTTAAAATAATAAATAATAGCATGACAAAAATAATATAAAATATTTAAAATTTATTTTTAATAAATTAATTAAGTTGTAAAGAATTAAATTAGTTAATTTAAATTATTTTATAAATAAATTAGTTAATTAATTAATTTATAAACTTTTAATTATTTTTTATTTTACTCAACAAAAAAAAATTGATTTTTTTACACAAAATTCCATCTTTTTTCTATAAAATCATTGTAACTATTTAAATTGCAAGACATGTCTTCCACTTCCCTTGAACCAAATGTCTCCTAAAAAAAGACTAGAGGTAGAGCAATGCTATATATTTATTACTCGACAAAAACAATTGCCAAGTTCAAACTAGCTTAGAAAAACAATTAACTTGAAAATAACTATCAAACAATTGTCCAATTTATACTCAATAGGCTCGGAAACCCCATATCTCTCCGTTTTATTGTCAAAATTAATAGAAACATGGTTCCAATTTGAATTCAAGAGGTCAAAATTAACAAAAATAATAAACATGTGAAAGTGTTGATGTCACAGATGATATGTCTAGATGACATGATAATTAACTCGCAAATAATACAGTACATTGATGTAACACATAAATTGCAATATAAATGAGGTGGCATTGATAGATACAAACATATAGTAATATAACTAAAGAAAGAATATGATAAAATTATTATTATGTAGTTTGATTCATGGAATGAAATTGGGTAAGAATTATTATCATGAGTTATTCTAATGTTTGGTTAATGAGAATAACTTTGGAATAATCAAGGAATAAATCATAAAATGATAAACCACGTTTTATTATAATAAAATTTAGTTTCATCAAAAATAAAAGTAAATTTTATTTTCATTAATATTTCAATTTATTATTAAATTATTGAATAATTTAATAATAAATTTGATATATAATTTTTAATTTTAATTATTTGAATCATTTTTCTCTATTTGTATTTTTCATGGCTTAATCTTTTAATTTCATTTTCATTAAACAGCAATAATTTATTATTAAATTATTAAATAATATATATTAAATTAGTTATATAATTTTTTATTTTAATTATTTAAATATTGTTCTCTATTTGTATTTATCATTGTTTAATCTTTTTGTTTTCATTTTTTTTTATTAATAATCAATAAGGGAGAAAAAGAAAAGAAAGAAAATATAGTCCAAGAGTTGTAATTAGTTCTATTAAATAGGGACATTTTCGTCCAATGATATTTTTCCCCTATTCCATCGGTCAATGGATTACTTAATGGTGGGGGGAGGGAAGGAATGGTTAAGCCTCTTTTTTGGGAATAGTCATTCCAATGGCTATTTTCAACCGGAAAGTGCCACCAAACAAAGAAATAAAAAAAATGAAAGGAATAAAGGGGGAATAGCTTAGGTATTCCCCGTACCAACCGTGTATGGAAGGTAACATGTTAAATGATTAGATAGAGATGGTGCAGTCAGCTAACACGGCAGATGACATGGTAATAGATGCGAAAACAAAGGCGGCTAGCGCGTGGAGTATCGGGGGCTTGTGGCATGGCATTTGCGGCTTTGACGATCAATGGTTAACAGATTGACAAGAGATAAGGTGGGATAGTATTAACAATTTGGTGGCTGAAAAGTGTCGCAGGTCTAACACAGCTCAAAACGGTGTTGGAGCGATTTTGGTGGTTTCAGAAAGTGGGATTACATCGATTGCTCTTCCGGAAACTCTTCAAGGTGAACTTGTTATATATATATATATATATATAATGTTTTCAAAATGTTTTAAGTTAGGTGCGTAAAGCACCAAAAGATGTTACTCAAGCATTTAGTTCTTTAGCCT